ACAATCCCAGAGGGGGCCCTTTGCGGGGGGGGGGGGCGGGGGAGCAGCGGGGCCCAGGCGCACTCACGACTCCTGCTTCACTGACTTGTTCAAAACCGCCGTGCGAGCCAGTCTGCAGTTCCCAAGGCAGACGTTAAAGCAAAAAAATGTCTCCAATGTTAAAAGGAATCTAAAATACAAGCAGGCACTTCCAGTGTTTAGAACAAATAAAACGCACCAGCATATTAAAATGTAAACCGATGTTTACGCCTAACCTCTGCAGGTTCGGAGTGGCTTCTATTCCGGAAAGTCCGGTGAGGAGGTTGGATCCGGCGGAAGCCTGCGTCTGCCAGGGCGGCGGGGACACCTCATGCAAGTCACCGCGACCGGGGCCCACTACGTGCTATTCTACACAGGTGAGCCGGGAGGCCCACGGCCCACTGCCAAGGGGGAGGCTTTGGGGGGGGGGGGGGGGGGCGGGGGGGTCGGCTCGCAAGCCAAGGGAGGCTGCCCGGCTGGTGCTCCACCCGGCATGGCTCATTCTGCCACCTTTCCCTTGGCTCAGCAAACACGCTGTATGGCTACTCCCTGAAGGAGCTCTACACCATGGCGTCTGGGTCTGAGGGCCACGGAGAGACCAGCCTGAAGGAGGACCCCCAGTGGCAGACGGCCATGGACGAGGCCACGCACCGTGTGACCTTGCTCAGGTACCGGCCCCTCTGGCCTCCTCCTACGGCTCCCGCCCTGAGAGCCTGAAGGCAGGAGGAGGAGGAGGAGACGAAGAGTGCCCAAAGCAAGTGCTGTCTGTCCGGCACGGGACGAAGCTGGGCTTGTGGCAGAGGCAAGGAAGAAAGGGAAGGGCTTGGAGGAGCAGGCGTGGGAGGGGGCCGCGGGGATGAGCGCCACAGCATCCGGCTGGGAGGGCCCCCGTCTGGACAGGGTCTCCAGGGACAACGCCCCCGCCCCCCAGCAGGATCACTCGGGAGGACCGGTGTGTGTGAGAACACAGGACATGCTCCAAGTGACTGCCTGAGTGGAGGAGGGGAACGGAGAACGCCAGAACCCCCTCCGTGCAGCTGTCACAGGCAGCACACTCAGCCGCTCTCGTGGTGGCCTGCAAGGGCGTCACGGGAGGCTGACCCGGCGTCTGTTGCTTCTCTCTGCCCTTCCAGCTCCGGAGAGATCCGCCGTGTGATGAAGGTGCTGGGGAGGTCGGGGACCGACATCCTGCTTGTGAGATCAACCACGCTGGAGCTGCTGGACGGACAGCGCCTGGGCTCCCGGTGGGCCAGTGACGTCATGCCCCCCATCCAGAGGTCAGGGTGGCCCCGGAGGGAGGGAGGGAGGGAGGGAGGCGTCTGCGACCAGAGCAGGACCACCGAGCTGCCCTCTCTTTAAAAATCTGAATGTGTAATGTGTTGGCGTCCACCCCCTTGAGCAACTTCTCGCATTACAACGGGGCGGGGGGAAGGGCTGGGAGGCCAAGGAAGGCCCCCACCCTTTTGAACATCAGCAGAGCCCTGCTGGGTCCGGACAGTGAGGGTCCACCTGGTCCAGCATCCTCGGCCAAGCGGTTCTCCTGGAGGGCCAACAAACAGGACACAGAGGCCGAGGCCTTCCCCCGATGTTGCCTCCTGGTATTCAGAGGTTTACTGCCTCTAAATGTGGAGGTTCCCTTCAGCCACTGTGGCTAGTAGCCTCAGATGGAGCCCTCCATCCCTGTTTAAAGCCCGTCCACAAACGCGTCGCCATCACTCTGTCCTCTGGCAGCAAATTCCACATTTTAATCATTTGTTGTGTAAAAAGGGTATTCCCCTGTGCCCATCCTGAATCCGCTGCCCATCGGTTTCATTGGACGCCCTCAAGTTCTAGCACGTTGGGAGGGGGAGGAGGAGGAGGAGGAGGAGGGAAAGTTCTCTTTGTCCACCCTGTGCATCACCTGATAAGCCTCTGTGATGTCTCCCCTTGGTTGTCGCCTCTTTTCCTGAACTGAAGTCCCAGGCTCCTCTCCCTTTCTTCGTAGGGTTGGGGTGCTCCGTCCTCTGGGTCATCTCGGTTGCCCTCCTCCTCCTCCTCCTCTGCACTTTCCCCAGCTCTGTGGTGCTCTTTGTGAGGCACGGGGACCAGAACGGCTCACAGGATCCAAAACGAGGCTGCACCCCAGATTGGTACAGAGGCATTAGAATACCGGCCGTTTTGTCTTCAGCCCTTTTCCTGATGGTCCCTAATGTAGACGTCCATCTTCTTCACTGCTGTGGCACTTCCATGGAGCTGTCGGCTGTGACCCCAAGATGTGTTTCCCTCTCAGCAAGCCCGGACCCCCCATTAGCGAGGACTTGAAGTTGGGGGGGTTTTTTGTCCCAGTGTGCCTCACCCTTATGCTTCCCCACACTGAACTTCATTGGCCACACTGCCGCCCGCCCACCGAGTTAGTGGAGATCCTCCTGGACTGTCGCTCTTCACCGCCTGCCTTGGTTTTCACCATCCTGAGTCATTCTGTGTCACCTGCCCTCCTGGCTCCCCCCCTCCCCCCATGCTGCTCACCACCCCCATTCCAGATGGTCTGTAAACAAGTTAAATAGGATGAGCCCCGATAGCGACCCTTGTGGGACCCCCACGATTTCCTGCCCTCTCTTGTGAGAACTGTCCGTCGATCCCTACTCTCTGCCTCCTGTCATTGGACCTTTTTTTGATCCGTTCTCTTAGACCGTGGTCAGCTTACTCCAGGGTCTTGGGTGAGGCGCCTGACCAAAACACATGTCCTCTTTCTCTTGTCCCTCTTGCAGTGAGCCCGTGCTTGGATCCTTCGCTCCTGATGAGGTCGCTATTGTCGTGGAAAGCAGAGGGGCACCCGGCCGAAAGAAGGTTTGTGGAGAAGCGGCTGGGTTTGGCCTTGCCAGTTTTGTGTCAAGGTGAAGTGCGCCGGACTCTAATCTGGGGGAACCGGGTTTGATTCCCCACTCCTCCTCCACTCGCACCTGGCTAGAAAGACCTTGGGCAAGCCATAGTTCTGATAAGAGCTGTCCTTGAAAAAGAGCCAGTTCCTGTCCAGAGCTCTCTCAGCCCCACCTCCCTCACAGGGGGTGTGGGGAGGGGAAGGGAAAGGCGTCTGTAAGCCCCTCTGAGACTCCTTCGGGTAGTGAAGGGCCATGGGGTATAGATCCAGTCGTCTCCTCTTCTCTCTTGCTGCTTGGGTTCAGATGGCCACGCAGTGTGCCACGTGCTGTCAGAGGAGTCTTGGCCCTTCTGTCTCTTGCCCGCGACACAGACGGCAGGGGCCTTTGAGCTGCAGCCTCACATTGGCATCCTCGGGGGGGGGGGGGGGGAGAGGCCTCCACCTTCCTAGCGTCAGGCAGGGATGGCCGTTGGGGTCCCGGCGAGGGCTGCCTCAGGCACTCCTTCTGCTTCACAGATTCTGATTGTGGAGAGCAGTTCTGGAGACATTAAGTGGGAGCTGGACCTTCTTTCGGGAGCCGGGGCTCCCACCCCAGCCACGCTGCCCACTGCCGATCACAGGTCCCTCTTCTTCTTCTGGGGCGACTACCAGCCGGGCAGTAACGGAACAGTGAGTGTCGTCCCCCGGGGGGGGGGGTCTGCCTGCCTGCCTGCCGGGCAGCAGTGCCTGGGCTGAACCAGGGCGGGCCACATGTCCAGGTGTCCTTCCAGCTGCTTCTGGGTGTGGGGGGGGGGGGGCCCACGCCATTCTTTAGGGGGGGTCCTGGTCTCCCCATTCAGTTTCTTTCGGCAGACTGCCTGCCCCAACAACACTGCAGTTTTAGTGGTTTTTAGGTTAAGTATCCAAATACGTATTAAGAGTACCAAGGACAATTACATTAAAAGTATGGTGATGTAGTAGAAAACACTATTGCAGTGGACATGTATGGTTAAGAGGAAGAAGGTATTAAAAACCAACAGGCGAATCCTCTATGTAAAAGGAAACCCAAAAGTATGTTGGGGGGAAATGCCTAAAGAGGTTTGAGAAGACTGTGGGTTCGGATCTGGTCTTTGGCTCCTGGACCCCCTCCCTCTCTCTCCCCCCAGGAATCAGAAGGGCCCCCCCAGAACCTCTACCTGTTCCACTCCTCTTTCCCCAACATGATCCTGTGGATGAACAACAGCACCGAGGCCATTGTGGTCTTCCAGGGTAAGTGTGCCCCCCCCACAGCCCCCCCAGACACACACACAGCTGGGCAGTACTGACACTCACTCCCTTCTTCGCTCTGGATTCCAGCGGTGCTCTTTGAGCGAAGTCGCCACGCCTGCTACGTGCTCCTGACCGGGCCAGAGACCGGCAGCGGTCCTGGACTGGTGGTGCTGTCCAAACGGAAGCTGAAGGAGGATATCGCTGGCAGCCACGTGATCTGGCTGAACCAAGTGGCCCAGGACACGGATCAGAACATCCGGGACCGCTTCCTCCGGATGCGATACCACAGCCCCCGGTGAGCGCGCCCCAAGGCCCCCGGCCCAGGCGGAGGGTTCCTGGAGCAGACACAGAGAAGATGATGACCGTGGCGGAGGCTTCTGAAGCCACGAGAAGGTCTGGGAGGCATCCACACCTGGTGGGCGGCTGGCCCCAGGGCCTGTGGGGGCGGAGACGAGTCCCTTTTCCTCAGGCCCCCCGGGCAGAGCTTGGCAGCACCTTCTGGGGGGGGGGGAGGTTCCTGCAGGGTCCTTGACTTCAGGTGACAGGCGAATACGTGGCCCCTTGGCTGGCACTGGAACCATCGCAGGAAGATGTTGCGGAGAGCCAGATTTCCCAGGGGCCTGGTGCAAGGTCCACGCACACGCCCTGCCCACCCGTTCCTGCATTCTCCCCCCTGCATCCCATCGGCCTCTGCGGAGAGCCAGGCCAGGACCCGTTCTCGGGCCGACATCTCCTTGCTGGGTGCCTTGTCTCCGGATCCTGTGGCAGCAAAGTGGAAGACTCAGCGGAGGGAGGGAGGGAGAGAGGAGCAGCCAGCCCCCCCCCCCCCAGTCTGACCAGGCTGCCAGAGGAGTTCTGCGTTGCTTCATCCTCCTCCTCCTCCTCCTCCGGGGCAGGGCTGAGGCACACCTGGCGGCTTTCTCCTCAACGGTGAAGGAACTTTCTCTTGTTTTGCCCTTGATTGGTGTGAACTTTGGTCATAGATGTCGTCTCCGGAATTGCTTCCGGGGCATTCCAGAGCTTGGTCTGACAGTTCCTGTGGTTTCAGTAAACCTTTGATTGCGACCCTAACGGCAGGAGGCATGTCTCTGTGTGTGTGTGTGTGTCACAGGACAGGACCACATGGAGGCCTCTGTGCCCTGTGGCTGGACCTCCAGAGCGACCGGTGGGCCAGTGCGTGAGGCAGGCTGCTGGACTAGATGGACTTTCACTGGCCTGATCCAGCAGGGCTCTTCTGAGGTTCTTCTTGCTTGTATCAAGCTGGGCAAGGGGAGACCACATGCTGGAAGGTCGGCCTGGCCCGGGGTTGCCTTCAGGAAGGAGGCGGTGGAGCCAGCAAGGGGTGGGGGTGCCCCAATGAAGTGTGCCCGTGGCCAGCATTGGACCCACAGCCCCCCGGGGGCACGACGCATTTCTCCTCCCTGCCTGCCCCGAGTGCTTCCGGCTGGGCCCAGAGCCGCTGGGGGATTCCTCAAGGCAGCCTGCATGGTGCGGATGAGCAACGCTCCTGGCCAGCGGAGGAGACAGAGGCCTGCCGCAGAGCATGCTGGGTGGGAGCTGGCCCTCTCTCCCTGCCTTGCTGCCTCTCCTGCCCATGCCTAGCTGTTCGTTTCAGTTGGCTGGCTCTTAATCTGCCTTCCCGTCATGGCATCCTAGCACTAAGGGGGCAGAGTCCTCCCGGCCCTGCCTCAGTCATGGCACTTCCAGGCCCTCCTCTGCTGGGCGGCCGCTTCCTTCACCTCGGGGGCCACAACTGACAGACAAGCTGGAAGACGTCCAGAGAGGAGGGCAACGAAGATGGTGGGGGGTCTTCCGGAAACCAAGTCCTACGAGGAGAGGCTGAAGGAGCTGGGTCCGTTTAGCCTGGAGAGGAGACGATCACCATCTTCTAAGTCCTTGAAGGGCTGTCATTATAGAGGATGGGGCAGAGTTATTTTCTGCTGCCCCAGAAGGTTGGACCAGAACCAACGGGTTGAAATTGAATCCGAAGGGTTTTCGGCTAAACACCAGGAAGGACTTCCTGAGCGGTTCCTCAGTGGAACGGGCGTCCTCAGGAGGAGGTGGTGGGCGGGAGGTTTCCAGGCAGAGGCCAGATGGCCCTCCGTCAGAAATGCAGATTCTGTGAACTGAGGCAGATTGTGAGAAGGGAGGGCAGGAAGGGTCGCCTCGGTGCTCAGTTCTCGTGGCCCTTCCTGACACGCCCAGGGAAATGCTGACCGCCACTTTGGGGTCAGGAAGCCATTGCTCTCCAGGCCAGTTTGGCCCCAGGGACCCTGGAGGTTTCCTTTTGCCATCTCCTGGGCATGGAAGAGTGATCACTGTGGGTGTGGAGGGGGAGGTATTTGTGAATTTCCTGCCTTGTGCAGGGGGTTGGACTAGATGACCCTGGAGGCCCCTTCCCACTCTCTGATTCTACCTCAGGGCCTGTTCCAGCCGCCCACCAGGGCATGAGGGACCCCTTTTTCCTCCAGGGGTGTTGTGGGAGATGGCCATTCAGAGAGCCAGAGCAGGCCCTGAAGGCCGTGGAAGAGGTCTGACGAGTCCCAGACCCAAGACCTGGAACCCCATTCCTGAGGCCTCCTTCCCTAGCCAAGCTGGGGGAGGGGGGAGTCCCTCCAGTTAGAAGCCCCTTCCGTTCTCCCGCCACGGCCAGGAGGGCGGGGGGGGGGGTTTGCCTCCAAGTAGTTGGGGACCAGCTTTTTTTCGAGGGGGGGGGGTTGGGGCGCGGGGGAGGGGGCGCTGCACCCAGCAGCACAGCGGCTGCCAGAGGGAGGGGTCCACAGGCACGTGCACCCCACCTCCACGAAGCACACGGCCAGAGCTCCCCAATGGGAAGGTGACCCTCTGGCCCTCCATTACCCCGCGGCAGGGGCAGGACGGACGGATGGATGGCGGGCAGGGGAAGATCCTGGGAGGATTTAGCTTTGTGAACTGGAGAGCCCTTCGTCTGTTGGGGGGGGGGGGCGGAGCAGCGTGGGCCACACTTTGCTCAGGGCCGGCAAAGGCAAAGGGGGGGAGGAACCCCGTTTGTGCCCAGCAAGCAGGCTCCCTCCCCCGCGTCCAGGCTCTTCCATCCTGGGACCACACTGACTGGAGCAGTGAGGCAGGTGTCAGCATGGGGGAGGGCTGCAGAGGACCCCTGCACCTGCCAGCAAAGGGGTGGCCTAGCTGCTGGGGGGGGAGGAAGGCGGGGCCAAAGGCCTGGTCCGGCAGCTCCGTGGAGACCCCCTCCTCCGTCCCTCCTGGCAGCCAGGCCCCCTCCCCGCTGGTTCCAGCCGCTAAGCCTCTCAGGCACACACACACACCCAAACGCCAGATGAGGCCCGGAAATCCTGGTGGGGGGGTCACAGAGGAGCCATCTCTCTGCCAGCAGATTTCCCAACCCGTGGATGTGATGTACACCCCACCCCGGGACATTTAGAATGCTCCATCACTGCCCAGATTAAGTGAGGCTTTATCTGATAAGTCCTTTTTCAACAGCAGCTGAGCTTGCCCAGAGGAACCCCCCCCCCCCCCCCCCGTTTGGGGGGTTATAAATCCCAAGCAAGGGAGGGGGAGAGAGAGCCGCTAGGGGGAGGATGAGAAAGCGGGCACCCCAGGAGGCGTGGGACCCCCACCCCACCCACTCCGCTTGCAGGCTCACCACCAGCAGCACCACCACCACCCCGTGAAGCTTCTCCAGCCCCACTGCCTCCCTGGCTGGTCCCCTGGCTCTAATGTATTAGAAGAATGTTTTATTGTTGGTCTTTATATTTTTTGCTACATGCTCCTCATATTCCCTTTTTGCCTGCCTGGTCACAGACTTGCATTTTATTTGCCACAGCCTGTGTTCCCTTTTATCAACCTCACTGAGACTAGCTTTCCACCGCTTAAAGGAATTCTTCTTACCCTTTACAGCTTCCATCACTTTGTTTCTTAACCGTGCAGGCTTTTTTCAATACCTATTTGTGCCTTTCCTAACTTGCGGTGTATATTTTTTCTGAGCTTCTAGGATTGTAGTTTCAAATAGTCTCCAAGCTTCCCCAATGGTTTTGACCCTTTCTACTTTTCCTTTCAGCTTCTTCCTCACAGGTGGAGTAGCAGGCTGGTTGCGTTTCACTTCTGCCAGACAGTCAAGGATCCGGGGACATTTTGCCCCCTGAAGGGGCAGGGGCGAGAGCAGGGAAGGGGCAGGGTGCTTCTTCCGTGGGGCGGCGGCACGCAGGGGCTCCGGGATGAGGTGGGGGGCGAGTCCTGAGGCAAGAACGCGTGGGGGAGTGGGGGGCATACTCCCCCCACACACACACACACAAAATGAGGCAAGGCAGAAGGAGGGTCCGGGGCCTGCCTGCCTGCCTGCCTGGTGGGGCCGTCCCATCCCTTCGTCGACACAGATCCCCGGCTTCGTTCTGGGTGGGGCCGTGGGGGCCAAGCTCTCCCCGGGCTTGTCCGGATTCAGGCCAGAAAGTCCGGAGGCTCCAGGCCGCCTCTGCTTCTCTCGTCCACCTTGATCTCGTGGTCCCCGGAAGGCAGGAGGGCCGGGCTGGGGCTGGAGTGGCGGGGCTTCCGCATGAAAGGGAACACCCTGGGTGGGGGACAGCAAGAGGGCGGGGGGCTTAAGCCCCAGAGTCGCCCTTCAGCCGCTCCCGCCGGCCCCCACTGCCCCCGTCCGCTGCTCACCGCTTCTTGGTTTCCGGGGGGATCAGGGCCTCCGCCAGCAGGTTCTTGTAGGTCTCGGACTTCAGGAAGCGTGGGTAGGAGTCCTTGGGGCGGGGGGGGGAGCGCAGTCACAGTCCGAGTCCAGCAGAGACCTCCCCCACCCCCCGCAGGCCTGGACCCACTCCCCCCCAGGCACCCAGCCGCCATTTGCCCCCAGAGCCGCCGCCGCCACCCCTCGCAGGGCAGGTTTTTGGGGGGGGGAGGCTCAAGCCCGGCTCCGGCACCTTCTTCATGAGCATGTAGATGTGCATTTGGGCATCGTCCATCACGTGGCGGTGGGGGTTCCTGATGCCCTCCAAAGTGCGCTCCATGGTCTTGCTGTCGATGTTGACCCAGCGGGTGGCGCTGGGTGCCAGGAACTGCCTAGAGATCAAGATGGGGCGGGCCCCTTACCAGGGGTGGGGAGGAGGCGGGGAGGCAAGAACTGGCCCAGGCAGAGGGGGGGCTCCTTCGCGGCTCTCGCGGGTGGAACGGAGGCCTGTCTGCGAGCCGGCCTGTCCAGGCGGGTAGGGAGGGGCTGGCCAGCGAAGGCATATACCCCCAAAGACAAAGACATCCCCACCACCACCCGACACTGAAAGGGAGCCAGACCCTCCCCCCTCCCCAAAGACCACGGGTCAGTGTGTCTCCCTTCCTCCTCGGGTGGTGGGAAGCCACTCACTGGTAAATCGAGTCCACCATCTCGCCAATGCGCGCTTGCTCCCCGTGGCGCAGGGCCTCACAAGCCTCCCAGAAACTCAGGTTCTCAGCTGGGGTGGGGGGGGGGAGAGAGAAGAACAGGCCGGGAAGTGCCCTCCCCATGGTTGCTCTGCTGCCTTCGCCGCCTCCTCCCCCCTCCACAAATCTCCTGTCTGGGCAATGCGGGGGGCACAGCTGCCTCCCCCACACACACCAAGAGCTCCTCCTCTCAGCCCTGGGGCGGGGGCCCCAAGGAGAGCCCCACTCACCCCCCCCCCACTCACCGCTGAACTCCTTCTGGAGGAACTCCAGGAACTGCCCCCGGCCCAGGAGGTCGCTCAGCAGCTCCTGGAAGCTGAAACTCCAGCGCTCCACCCGCAGCTTGGTGGGCACAGAGACCCTGCAGGGCAGGGAGGGAGGGAGGGAGGGAGGGAATCTGACCATTCTGGAGTCTAAGATCCTCCCACTGCCCAGCACCGGGGGGGGACTCCAGATTCCGTGCCCCCTCCCCGGCAGCACTGCCGGGAGCCACGCAGCTACCTTGGGGGGGGGGCGGCACTCACGTGGGGGCGTTCATGGCCCAGTACGTGGTGTCGTCTGTGATCCAGGGGTTGCTGGGCAGGCAGCCGGACATGATGGGGTCGTGGGGCACATACTGATCGTTGAACTTGATGTATCTGCAGAAGACGAGCAAGGGGTGGGCACTTCTCCCTCCCGACACACCCCAGCAAAGTGGGCTGGCGGGTCGGGAGTCAGATTCTCTAGATGGTGGAGGGATCCCTCCCATGAACTCCTCTGAGGAAGGGCCAGGTGGCAGAGAGACAGAGTGCTCTGCGCACCTGGAGACCCAGGCGCCCCCCCCGTCCCCTCCCCTCCCAGCAGAGACTTCCCGCTGGCCTCTCCCCCCCCCTCCCGTGAGCGTGGCCGAGGAAGGCGCCCTTTTGTCCCTGGCCCAGAGACGAGAGGCAGGCTGCTCTTCACTCTGGGGGGGTGGGGGTGGCAAGGGGCAGAGACGAAGACCACGTGCACACGCACGCACACACGCCGCAGAAGACTCACTCACCCTTCCAAGCAAATCGAAGACTTGACCCGGGTCCTGCTCATGGCTGCACGGCAGAAGCGGATCTGCACCCCCAAGAGAAAAGGGTGGGAGGGGCAACTTGGGGAGCTCTCAGAGACCGCTCAGCAGACAGTGGGGGGGAGCGTTCCGTCCAGCCCCACCTGTCCCCAGCCGCCCCTTGTCCCAGCCTGCCCGGTGGGGAGCAGGCCAGATTCCATTGGCCCAGGCTGAGACTCCACACACACACACACGCGCCCCCACTCGCACTCACCTCCTGCTTGTAGTAATCGGCATTCTTCACCTGGAACGGAGCAATGCGGGGGGGAAAGTTCAGAGCCCAGCAGCCAGGCCCTGTCTGCCCCACCCCCTTCTCTAGCCACTGAGGGGGGCCCCCGCCCCCTGCCCAAGTGCTCTCCCCCACCCCACTTGCCCCCTGGGCTCTTCCAGGCGCCCACCCCAGCCTCCACGGGCATCCTGCACCGGTGGTCATGTCGATGACTTACGTGGACAGACAGACAGGGCAGCACAGAGAAGAGAGAAGAGAGCTCATTGGTCAGCCTGGGGAGGGGAGGAGGCACGAGTACCTGGCCTCGGCGGAGCAAAGGAGGGCCAGAAACAAGCCTAGCCCCCCCCCACAACCCCCCCCCCAGTTTAGAGATGAGCTCTGTAGAGCAGAACAAGTTATCAGGCATGGCGCTGGGGGGCGGGGCAGAGTCCAGAGGGACGTTGGGGCTCCCCCCCCACACCTTGGCACCAGGCAGGGCAGCAGGGCGGGGAAAGCCCCCAAGGGCTCCCGAGAGGCCCTCCTTGCCCACTTCCCGCCCCCCAGGGCCAGAGAGGCCAGGAGGAAGGAGGGTGGCCCTGGAGCCGAGGGGGCCGTGGGCGGACAGGAGCAGGGAGCGGCCCAGGAGGGACCGGAGGTAGAATGCCAAGGGATATGGCCAGCTGGCCTGGAGATTTTCAGAACTAGCACACGGGGGGGGAAGGGGGGGACAATCCGTGAGCAGGCCGCAGCCTCTCCTCCAACCCCCCCTCCCCCAGTGACACGGGAGGAAGCTGGCCTTCCGCCGCCCACTTCTGCTCCCGCTCCCCCAGCTGTCCTCACCCGCTGCACCCTGGTCCCATGGCGGTTCCTTCCTTCTGGCCCAAGTTCCATCATGTTCAGGGATCCCGGCTGCAGAAGAAGACAGCAGAGCCCATCAGGGTTAGAGCCCGGCTTCCCTCCCTTCCACCTTGGCAAGCATCTCCAGGGACCTCCTCCAGAGCCCACAAGAGGCCAAAGCTGGCTGCTCCGGAGGCTTTTGCCCGGCCCCACAGGCAGGCCTGCCCTGCCCTGCCCTGCCCCACCAAAGAGGGCGGTGGGTGGAAAAGGCACCCCGCCAAAGGGGCTGCCAAGGCCCCTTCCTCTGCCCGGCTCAGGGGTGAGGAGAGCAGGGCGAGGGGTGTGCCGTGTGGTCCAGCAAGGTGGCTGGCTGGCAGGCAGGCAGGCAGGCAGTCCAGCCGCATCCCCACCCAGCAGCCACGGCCTCCCCCACCTACCAGAGGTCTGTTCACAAGCCAGTAGGCCTGCTCTTGGCACTCCGTGACAATGCGATCCCCCCTCCGCCGCTGCTTGGCTGCTCTGTCGGGAGGGAGGGAGCGTCAGGGCCTCCGCCGCTGCCGCCTCCCCCCCCCCCTTGGCCTGCCCCGCATCCCGGCCGCTCAGGCCAGCTCACCGGAGTTGCTCTCGCGCCTGCATGACCACAAAGTCCCACGCGTGGTTGATCCTCTTGTGCAGCTGGCTGTAGTCTTCCTGGGAGAGGCAGCGGGCAGGCTGAGCCAGGGTCCCCAGGGCAGGGGGCCGGCCAGCCACAAGAGCAGCAGCAGCAGCAGAGACCCCTCCCTCGTCCGCTTGCCTTCTCATGCTCAATGAGGTCCCCCTGCTTGCGGATATTCTTCTTTGCCAGGTAGATGGCTGCAAAAGAGAGAGAGAGAGAGAGAGTTGGCTGTGGAGGGACAGCCCCCTCCCCTCCTGCCCCTCCCCTGACTTGGTGCTGGCTGCTTACCATAGTCGAGCTCTGTGGCCGGCCACTTGGTGCTCATCCAGAAATACGGCGTCT